AAACGACGCTTTTCAATAATTTAGTCTTCATGATTTTACTTATTAATCTCATTTAATTCAAACACATGTCCGTAACATTTTTTATCCAACTTCTAATTGTTTTTAGAACTCATTTTTGGGCATGACCCTTAGTATACTGGAAAATGGCAGATCCAATGTTATCTTGGACTTGTTTTTTCCTTCTGAAAGGTGTTTTTTTTCAAGTTAGGAAATAGAAACAAGTCAAAAGGTCAAAAATCTAAAAATATTTTTAATGTGAAAAAACATTAACTTTCTGTTTATCCCGAAAACCCCTTTACTCTTCAGGGCATGCGGGTTTGGACGCTGTCATGAAGAAATTCAATGTATTGGATTCCTGATTCTGGGTCCTTCCTCTAATAAACCTTTCTAGACTCCCCCAGATATTAAACTGTCTCCCCGAATACGAATTTGAACAACAATACCACTATCATTTACGAAAATTGCATATAGGCAAGTAAAAAATAATTTGTTTATTAACAAATAAACATGCGTTTTTGGCGATCGGTGTAGCCTATACGTACTTATCGAGAAAAAGAAAGTGATTACTTAATTCATTAATTTCATGTCAGCTGCACAGTCTATACGTAAAGCCCTTATTTTTCTTGTAGAACTTTTTTTAAAATCATAAACTCTGAATCCTAGGCTAGGTTTTTTTTTCAATTTATATTTGCTCACGATAAATTTGTAAATCTGTTGGAAAAATATCAATGTAATGCATCATGCCAAAGACAGCTGACAAAAACTTTGTCGTTGTCGTAATAATGTAAAGATATACCAGTGTCTCTTTGACTACATAATGAATATGCCCATACTGAAATCGTGGACTTTATATGTTTTAATGCTCCAATTCTGAATTGTTTTATGGACATTTGAGCTTGAATTCTATTTGTTATCTCCATATTTTTCATTTAGGTAATTGTCAGCTTCTGTATGGATTTTATTCCCCAATACTTGATATAAATACATGTAGCAAATATATTAACAAAATTGAAAGCTTCAGATATATTTGCCGATTCAAAAACAAAACAAATTATGTAAGATATATTGTATACGTAATACGAGACCAGTGAAAAAAATGTTATTTTGTGGATTCATTAAGATATTTGTTTAAAGAATTGCAGCTATAGCTTATTTCATTTTCTCTTCAAACATCACGCATTTTTCTCAATATAATTTAATGAAAACCATTTGTTACATATACAAATTCTTCACTGAAAACACAACTTCTATCAATATTATTTTAAAGAGACTTAAAACGCATTTGAATAATTTTGTTGTTTGATTTTCTATATTTTTATTCTTCCAATAGAAGCATCTACTTGTGTGTTTTGTAAAGGCGCATGTTGTAATAATCCTTGACTTCCTTTATAGCTGAAAGGAGATTCATCAGCTCTTTTAGAACGATGAACAGTTTGGAAGGTAAGTAGTCTTGTCTTACGACCTTCATTATAGAATCGCCCGCCTGGCGCAATGGCGTATGCTCTAGAGTTGCAAGATAAGGAGTTGATCTTTTCGTCGCTGGTTCGAATCCCACTGAGTCTTTTGGATGAGATCGTATAAACCGAGGCCCCGGCGTGTTGCAGTAAGTGCTGGCAGGAAAAAGATCTCTTACTGCTCAGTGGTCGTAAGTACCGAGTATAGGACAAAATTAGCAGCTCTCCATCGGCAAGTGGTGGCATCTCAAAATAAGTGAAAAATTCTCGAGAGGAACGTTAAGAAAGCTGAGGGAAATTAAAAACAAAATCTCATTCGTCTGTCTATGCGTCAGTCGGTCGGTCACAAAAAACTTTTAACTTTCGTCATAATTTTTGGATGAGAAGAGATATAAGACTTTCATATTTCACATGTGCAATTACCACTAAGACACTGAAAATGGGGGACCGCAATACTTTGAATTTGCTTGTTATTACTTAATTAGCTTATTTTTTAAGTTATTTCAAGTATGCCGATGTTGGCCTTCATAAAATTGGCGTTAAAAAGGTCGAAGTCTCGATTCAGAATTGGAACAATCATTTTTTGGAATTATTTCTTAGTGAAGTTTAAATAGGAAAAAGGATGTGTTTCTATTTTACTGAGGGTAAAACAACTATACAAATGAACAGAACACTTACATTATCACTCTAAGTCATTAAATTTCATCGTTTAATTTGAAACCAAAGGGGCGAAATAACCCTGTATGTACGTATACAGTACTTTTTTTTATCTTGAAAAAAATCTAATGTTATTCCTGGACATAAAAATAACTTTTTCTTGCATATTTACATATATATGATTAATTTTTTTTTTTAAATTACATCATTAGTTTGTAATTTAAGAAATAAAAATGCTCTACATCTTCAAAAATTTTTGGAGTAAAGTTTCATAGTTACTGTAGATCATATTGTAATCTCTATCAAGCAGTTGTATTCTAACTCATTGGCATTTTTTTTCTTTTTTTAGGATTCCTTTTTATGACAGCATTAATATCTTTCACTGTCAATGAGTGTTCATTTCATAGATGGTCAGAAGGGAAAAAAAGAAAATTTATAACATCAACAACACCCCGATCCCGACCACAAAAAATATCAACAAGACACCGATCCCGATCGCAAAAAATATCAACCAGTAGAAATGATGTCACTTCTTCTGATGGATTACTACAATCTTACCCACTCACTACCTCTAAAACGGACACCAATGTTTCTACATCTATTCGTCAACGCAATTCTACAGTTATCGATATTCCAGGAGAGTCTTTGAACTGTTTGGATAGAAGATGGAAATCCAAAAAAATACTGAAATGTCCAGAAGTATTAAACAATCGAAATTCTCATACCAATTTCGACTTAGGTTTTCTGATTGACGACATATGTTTAGGCTTTTCTGAGGAACGTAATTTTTCGTTTTCTTTACCTTTTAATAAGACTGCCAAAAGACGTTTTGTCACAGGATCCATCAGCGTACTTTCAATTCATGTCAAGGTTATTTCTTTAATTGGATTATTTTGTAATTTGTTATCCATTCTAGTAATCAGTCTGAAATCCGATCTTCACAAACCGTTTTACCTTTGTGTCGCGTGTTTAGCTTTTGCCGACATCTTGTATAACCTTAATTTCTATCTGAAACTAATCTTGCGTGATTCGTCCCTTTGTGCACTCTGGATGGGGCAGATTGTGTTTTTTATAACAACTTATTCTACAAAAATGTTCTCCTCACTGAGCGCCTTATTAATGTTGACTGTACGATATGCCATGTTTGTAAAGCCATTGAAAAGCCGTGCGCACCTTACAAACCGAAAAGTGTGCGTCATTTCCGGTTCTTGCTTTGTTGCTAGCATCGTATTTGGAGTCCTTGTTTTTAGTTCGAAATTATCCTTTAGTAACAGTTTTCACTTTCTCTCAGTAGCTGATGATATTTTCCTTCTATCTACCTTCGTTTTTCTGAATACTTTTTTCTTTGTTAGCCGTTGTAAGACAGTAAAAAAATCGGTCGCAGCGAGAAATTTAACAAAACGCGTAACCTTTGTAGCTTTCTTGATAATGGTAATGTGTGCAATTAACTCTTCTTTTTCTATACTCTCGAGTTTTCGTAGCCGTAATCGACTGAACGAGGAATTAAGCCAAAATAAAGCATACTCTGCTGATTGGCATGTAATCATGCGAATTATGGAACTCTTTAAAAACATTTCACATGCGATAAACCCTATACTCTTCTTTTATAGCTCACCATACGTAACCAAAATATTCTTATCTTGCTTTAAATGACATTAATTCAAAATTAATTATTTGAGAATTATCCTTTCTTCAATTAATTTTGTATAGAATAGTCTAGCTAACCGACTTGAGCTATATGAATTTATATTAAATTTGACTTTGTAATACTGCTTTATCCTGAACAATACAGATATCAAAGCAAACAAACATCTATTTAAACAAAATATTAAAAGCAACTGTAAGCTACAAAATAGCCAGTTGCTTCAATTGATAAACAAAATTCAAACATGTACATTTAACTCTTTATAATTACATGTAGTGTGCCTGTGATATTGTTGTCTGAATTATTAAAATTATTTTTTATATTACGAAATCTAATCTTCATTTTATTATTGGTAGGGAAAATTAAATGTGAATGTTAGATGTGGAGATAACGAACAGTATTCGAGCTCAACTTTTAGAAAAAAAAAATATACAATAACTAATCCTTTTTAAACTCTATAACATTATTATTTATATTTTCACACAGATACACAAAATTAATTAATTACTTAATGAGTAGCTTTCATAATAAAATATCTAAAGAAAAAATGTTGTAGTGATCCACCTTACGTATCTTTTTAAAGTTTCTTTTTTGATACATAATTTTGTCTCCCCGAACAAACAATTGCTTGCTTTTGTACGCGTGGTGAAGTGTTTATAGCATCTGCTCTTTTGTCGCGAAGTAAGGAGCTTATCCCTATGACGTAGGGATCATCTTCTTACTTAGCGACTCAAGAGCACGACTGCTCTCAGAGGAACATTTCACCTTTCTCTGTTACTTCATTTCCTTTTTTAATACAGGAACTACAGTAAGAAGGAGAAAGAAATAAAAAAAAATAATAGCTCTTATATAGGTACATGTAGGCTAGTAGGTTAAACTTATTTTATCTTTTTCTGGAATAATAATAAATCATGCTCTAGTATTAATTATTGAATTTTGTACCACGATATGTGACCCAGTTGTTTTGCGTTATTAGGTAATAAAATAGTTCGGAGTCAGTTATTTTGTTTTACTCATGTTTCTATACAACAAAATGTTTAACCCAGATAGCATGACTACGTTGGCCCAACGTTGGCTAATGGTTGGACCGTTGGCCGATGGTTGGCGTTGGGTTTACAACGTTGGCCCAATGTCGGGTCAATGTCAACATTACAATATTTTACTCGGAGGCCGAGGTTGGTTGGGGACACAACGTTGACCCAACGTTGGGCCACTGTTGTTAGCTTGTCACCACTAAGCCGACAGATTTTGTTGGGAGTACAACATTGGCCCAACGTTAGGCCAACGTTGGTGAGTCACGACCTTATTTCGATACAATGTTTTGTATAGACAACGTTGAACCAGAATTCAGGAAACATGTGAACTGTTTGTTATAAAATCGGACAAGAAGATGGAAAAGTGAAAGAAAAAGAAATAGTAAATTATGTACATTTAATGTTACATATATACCAACCATGAATACCGAAAAACATGCATGACGATGTATCAAGTTATATAGCTTTTATATTTTTTAGTTTACTGTGAAACTTTAAAATTTGTGTAAATGTTTAAACACTACTAGTTCTATAAAGTAAATGTTTTTGAGAATAATATAACATCAATTTAAATTAACCTGCATATTTAAAAAAAAAATACAAGACGAACAAGACACACACTTTCTAAAGCGTTGCATTTAGGGTGCATATTCTAAGATAAGAGAACATTTTCTGACCAAACAATTAGGCCAGGGTTTTTCACAGCGTGAGACTGGCCAGTTTCTATGGTAATCGTGATATCTGATAGGACAGGATGGTCAAATCTGCATCCTTTTAGCACGCCTAACATTTTAATCTCGGATGTTTCCTACAGCAGAACGTTGTAGATTTTATGTTAAAAAGAAAGCTTTGGAATGTGTGTTCTTTAATGTGGATTAATTTTTAGAGCTATGTCCAGACATTTTACATACGGATCGAAATGTAAGTACTATATTTACCTCAAATAACATGTATTTCAGATTTTAGAACACAAAATGCAAAGTTTGTTTCATGCGATCTGATCATCATCTTTATCTTTTTCTAAGCTTGATTTAGTTTTAAATTAAATATGTAACTAGATCAGTCGCTAATCACTTTATCCTTTCTGGTTAAAACTTACAAAATAAAATGTATCATTGATCTATGTCAATTATTATTATCTTAATCAAAATCTAATTTGTAAATTTTATTTTTGAATATCTTTGAATTTTTGCCTGGGTCAGTTTCGTTTCATAAATTTCTACTATATTTCTACCATTAAGAAAACAAATTCTGGAATTGTTACTTTGTGTTTCACATGTTTCAGGGAAGTCAAATCTCTTATGATTAAAGTTCTCATTTTATTTAATTAGTGAAAATAACTTGGTGAATGAAGAGGAGAGTATTTGCTGCCATGTTTTAAAAAATTCCATTGGAAGGCAAATGAAGATATCCGGCTTTTTCAAAGATGATGGGGATTTAAAAAGTAAGTATTAAAATACGTGCTCTGTTCCCCTTACAAATGATATAGTTGTACATTATAATAAATGCAGAAAAAATTATAAATAATATATCTAAATTAAAAGAAAAAAAACACCCAAATTTAAACATGTTAAATCTACAAATAATCGAATATCCTATGTAGTAATAGTTTCCAATACACAGAATCAATTAAAAATACTATAAACTTGCAATTGTGTTAATTAATTAAGTACTGCTTAAATTTGATTTTCAGCATTTGTCTTTCTTTTTTTGAGATTTGCTTAATAAAATGGATTTAATTTTTTATTTAAAGGAGCTGTTCGGACTTATCGCTTGTATGACGAATCAATTTCTTTGGAATTTCACTGAGTACGACCATGAAGGAAAAATAAGAACAAGCAGGACAAGAAAGAAGAAAATGCGTTCAAAAATACAATGGAGGACAGTGATTGGTTATAAACCTGTTAATAAAAAGTGTATATAAGTTAAATGAGTGGAAAACTTTTGAAATTTATTCTACTAGATACAAATTTCAATCTAAATCAGGGGCAAATTATTTATTGTTTTAACTGTATCAAAACACATTTGTTATTTTATACTTTCACTTACTTTTCTTGTATAGAAACAATAAATTTAATCACTGATAATGTATTTTGTTATGATAAATTGTAAAGAAGTTTAACAAGCCTTGTAAATTTATTTTAGCTAACTTGTATTTATTAAGTAGGATTGGTGGTAGATTTTTTTTTTCTGATTTTAGAGACGATCGGATTTGTTAATATACAAGTTTGTAACAATTAAATGTTTATACACATTGGGCCAATGTTGGTCCAATATATCGGGCCAACATTGGGCCAATGAGCAAAATGACATTGGGCCAACGTCATTTGCCAACATCGGCCCAATGTTCTTGATGACGTTGGGCCAACATTGGCCCAATGTCGCATTCATTGGGCCAATGTTGGCGCAATGTTGGGCCAATATCTGCAGAAATAACACTCTACATTGGGCCAACGTTGGCCCAACATATCGGGCCAACATTGGGCCGATGAGCAAACTTACGTTGGGCCAATGTCATTTACCAACATTGGCCCAATGTAACCGATGACATTGGCCCAACGTTGGCCCAATGTTAGCATGCTATCTGGGAAGCTTGGTTTGTGAATTTCAACCAATAAACCTATCTTATTTTAGAACATAGATTTCTTTAAATCGCCATTTCTTATATTTCACAAATTTTATTATATGAAACATTTGGAGATATGAACAGTATTCCAGATCAAAAGTCCATAAACCAATACAAAATAGGAGCAGAGCAAACACGAACCTCCAATACACCAGGGGTGCGATCAGTTGCCACTGAGGAGTGACCATTCCCTTTTTTTTTTTTTTTTTTTTTTAAAAATCAATGGAAGGCAGAAGAATGATAATCCAATAGTACACACTGTTTATTATACCTTTATAATTCAAGTGTAGATGGTATCACAAATCTTTGGATATTTCATAGATAAATCTTTTTTTTTTCAATGCAATTGACGCTTTACTTTTTTGAGAAATGTGTCTGACGAATGCAACAGTCTGTGCAAACAGATTGAGTAATGCGCGGAGATTTCTACAGCTGATACAATAGCCAGTTAACCTTGAAAGGGCTTCAATTTGATGGTGAAAGGTGGGATAGTTGATGGGACTAACAATCCAACCATTGTTCCATGGGATTCAGACTTTTTGATCTGCAAAACTTATAAGACAGACATGTTTGTGAGTTCAATATGATACCATGTGATACTGCTAAGAAGAGTTAAACGTCACAATAATCACAGAACTTATGAAGTTATGACTTTAAAGGTGAACATGACTCGTAAATAGACACACACCATTATCGATATCATTATCTACGTTACATAAACTTACGTTACATAATCAGTTACAACTGACTGCTTTATTGTCACGGGTATCGGCATGGAATGGCGACTCATGTTTGTGTTTGCTGATTATCTTGCATTACTTTTTTAAAAACATTTTATTGCAGTTATACATATATTTGTATTTGTCTGTATACTGCGCTGACCTGTGCAACTGTTGTGTCTTTCGTATCTTACTTTCCTGCATTGGAACAAGTAGACATTTACTTTTGTCGCTACTGAGTATTGTAAAGTATACGTCCATGTACACCGGTGACAATTCCTTACACTGAACAGTTACTAAGTGATTCACTCTATTTATAGGGGTCTTCTGATGTAGCGAGAGCTCGAACAAATATGTCTGATAAATTCTTTTTAAGAATCATGTTCAACTTCAAACATTGTTGATATTCTTCTTTCCACAGTTTGTCGGTAATTTACATCGTTTTAGAAATTGTTCATACGTAGAGCCTTCTCTCGCGAATCGAATCAACTGAGAGAAATAAAACCCGAATGCAGGTGACGAAGGTAATATATTGCTGCATAAGTAAGGGAATTTGACGATTGTAAATTAAAGTTAAAGTCATCTCGTTTACCATTACGAATTGTTTTTAGTTTACCATTAACGTCTTCTTTCAAGACAAATGTCTAAATATGAAACAGATGTGGTAGACTCTGTGGTATCTTTTATTTCATGTTCACCGAGATATATCATCAAAAATCTTTCTGCTTTCCTTTTTTACTCTTGAAGCATATTTCAAACGCACTGGGTGATATTGAGTTAAACATTTTGAAATTGCCAAAGGTAGATTAACAAATAGATTTAGGATAAGAAGCACCCACCTTTTTGATTATTCTCTTCGTCATCATCTTCATATTTAGTAAGTGCTTTAGAAATGAAATTAAAACTCTAAAAATTGATACTTCAATTAATTTACTTGCTCAAATTCAGTTTTGATAATGTTTCTACATTGGAATGCCTCACGTTTTTTGAAGTGGACAAAGAGACCGGGGAAAATGACTTGAAAAGAACGTGGTTGGATAGAAATTTTTAAATCTATTCAAGATTGTTCAAGTATTTACATGTAATAGGTTTGCATGGAACTACTTACTTGTAGCTAAATTAGATCTCTCCTAGTGCAGAGGAAAGGTCAAAACCAGTGAATTAATAAACTTTCAATTATGACTATTGATATTTGTTAAAGGTACGTTTACAATTCGACTTCAATTTGAAGCTTTTCAATTATCTATAATAGATTTATATTTTCAATTTTCAATTTTTTTGTGCTTTTTACAGTGTAAATGTACCTATGTTAATTTTTTGGATTAAAGCCTTGAGAATTTTTTTGTTATTCAAATAGTATGTAGGCTGACGGATCCACAGCTAGCTACCCATAAAAATGTATTGTGAACCTCAACAAGTCGTCAACTGATTACTCAAAAACAATTCAGCACCAGGAGTTGAAGGATTTTCTTCAAAGCTGTTTTGCATAATATTGTCACAGAGTTCCCGAAACGCACCGGTCCACCGGGGATCCCCGGTAAACTTTGAATGGGACCGGTAAAATCTTAATTATATCGGTCAAAATGTCCGATGGTTTTTTTTCTTTACAGACTGTATAACAATTACACATAATCTTAATAAAATCATTTAATTCAATTGTCCTGACAATAAACAAATGCAAAACTAAAGGAAATAAAAAAAAAAAGCGTCAGGGGCGCGCCAGATTATTCTCATGCATTCTTGTTTAAATAAAATGTAGATGGTGATTGTCTACTATAAAAAGCTACTGGTAACATATTAAAATAATAATCTCCATAAGTCTGGGAGGAAAAACAGTTAAAACACTGTCAAACAAATATTTTTCCCTCTTGATAGATATATGCACTCTGTAGTTCTGAGAGTAAAAAAATGTGACTATCTACTTTCATTTTGCAGGACGAATTTGCAGGGTTGCAAGAGTTGCCTGCTATTTCTGCTTGATTACAGACAATTTGTTACCATTTATTATTTTCTCTATAATTTAATCTATTAGCATGATCAATATTATACCAACTTTTGGATTTTTTTCCATGTATTTCATAGCATTTAAAATACATGCGCGTTTCTCCCCTTTTCTAAAAATAGCAGACTGACTTTAATGTAATAAAACAACAACAAATTCACTTAAAATCATCATTTTCATGATAAATTTGCATATTTTTGTATCATTAGTACATATTTTTAACTGTGTGGAGGTTGTATAATACGTTTAACTTATAAGTCGGAAATATATGACGTTTTCAAGGCTTTTTTATACGATTTTGATATTTTACGTAATATTTTCTCTGGCACATAAAAAAAGCCCGGAAAACAACAGATATTTTGGAATAATTCAAAACAATTAACCAAAAGTTGTCATGTTGCAGATTCTATTTTAAAAAAATTAAAAATCTGTCAGAAAGGACATAATAATTTAATTTGAATTGAGCGTTGGTCATCACACACCGTCGGCGACGTCAAATCCCACATACACAAGCCTAATAGAAAATATTTTAATAAATAAAAAAAAATCTGCATTTGCCATCTTTTCATTTACACATATTATTTATTATATCGACACAATTTCCAATCCTATAATATGTTAAATTTACATACAAAAAATTAATGTCCGGTAAATTTTACAACTGTCCGGTGAATTTTGAATATTTACAGGACAATTGTCCAACATATTTTTGACTAGTTTCGGGAACTCTGTTGTCAGTTGACCGTCAATTGTCTGCTTTTATCCGTGTTTACCATTACCTGTTGTTGAATATTAATAGCCATTCTCTGTAACCACTTAAACTTCGTTGCCACGCATGGTCACCGATTTTGATGAAACTTCACCCATGCTTGGTACTTGACACCAGAAACAAATATCAAACAAAATTTCGTTGCTATACGTCTTGGTTGCTATGGCAACAGCCGGAAAAGTTTGAAAAATCAAGATTTTCAGCCACTTTAAATCTTGACTGTGGCTTAATAAAAACTAGAAAAAGCAAACAAACCCTTCTCATAAAAACATGACACCTTGTTGTCACCTATACTGTAAAGAAACTGTTTAGAATATATCTCTAAGTAAATGGTAACCAAGGGTACATTTGGAATACATTAAAAAATGCTGAAATATGCTGAAAAACACTCCGTATTCACTAATGGTAGGTGTTACATGCTAAAACTCAATCAACGACTTAAAAAAAACAATGAAAATGTTTGACCTTAAGTATACAAGTAAAAGCAATATTATTCTATAAATAAATTTAATGGTTGCCATGGTAACACAGTGTAACCATGCAAAACCAGTAACTAAGATTGGGTTAATGCTTCTGTCCTGAGGAAAAACATGAAAATTCAAGACTGGCAAATATGCATCCATAGGACCTTGCAACACCAAAACCATAAGAAAAATTGGGTATAATTGATACTTTGCAGTGTTACCATGGAAACAAAGTACCAGTGCTTAAAAGTGAATTATTTTTCGCTGCATTAAGAATTAAATTGCCATTTAATCAAGAAACAAATTAAAGTAATCAGCTTGAATAGTACTTATGTGTTAGAACTGAAGTTGAATATCATATATTGATAAAATTTGATGAATAAAACAACACTGTTGCTATGGTTACCAAGAAGGGAAAATGTTCGATTTTGTGAACTTTATATCAATATTAAACCCTGTGTGCCAACTTCTTGCATCCACTTAGAGATTGGATGATAGTAAAAATTTAAAGTCAAGTTAGCTGTTAATAAATATCAATCATAAAAGTTTTGGGAATCTACATTGAAGGGTACGTATCCAAGGAAAGAAAATATTTTTCAGGTTTTTAAGCATATATTTTCTGCTTATTTCCATAGCAACGCTCTATTTTAAGAATCTAATCTGAATTTTTTCAAATGGGAAAACTTGGAGCACACCAACATCTTATAAAATTGATCATTAGTTATGAGGAAATGTGCTTTTTTCAAAAGATAGGATCAGATTTAAACATACAGAGTGTTACTTTGAAGGCTCTCTGTGGTATAAAAACCTTGGCAACCATTGCCAACCAAAATGAAATATCATATTTTGTTCTTGGTATATGTTTCAAGGCTCTTTTTTCTATGATTTGGTCACATTTCATCCTATAATTGCATTTTATTTTTACGTGTATGACTTTATAAAATTCAATGAATATTATTTTTACTCTTGAA